TTTCAATTTGTAAAGTAACGGTGAGGAACTAAGCCACTCAGGTGTTTTCCAGTACCACATCTGTGACTTATATAGAGGCGTTTTATTAGATTAATTTCTGATCATATTTACAATCTTGCTGACTAAGGTCTAAGTGAACACCCATACAACCTTTTCAGAAAGTGTGGCAAAAGCTATCAGAATGTAAAAGATGCACCTTCTCTGCCCCAGCAATTTATCATCTCTATATTTAAGTTTAAAAAAAAAAAAATCCCGCAAGTAGGCAATGACGTGTGTGAGGAATTTTCATAACTGAAAGTAAAAGATTAATCATGATACACTAATGCAATACGACACTACGAAAATGCAGGCGTGAAAGGTGGTCACACTCTTTCACCTACTTGTATGTGCGTTTACACGTCTGTATCTACATGCATGTGTATGTATGAATGGGGAGGACAAAACTTAAACAGATCCTTAGATACGTATGTGAGTGGGCGGAGGCAGTAACAGAGCACTGGCGGATTCTCACTGCTGGGCTGGTGCCATCTGCGCAGACCGGCCAGTGGGTGTGGGTGCACTGTCACTGACTTCTCTGTTTTTTAAAAAATACATTCAGAGGGGGAAAAAAAGGTTCAAAGTGAAGAATGCATGCTTTAAAAAAATCTATGAATCGCTTCTCAGCCTTTTGGCTAAGATCAAGAGTAAAAAATTTATTTAAACATATGCATACTTAAGCACCAGTCATTTTGCTGACAGTAAAAGGTAACCTGAGTGACTTGAGATGCTGCCTTTCTTGTATTCTAGTATAACACTGGGTCGATTTCTGGAATTTTTCTTTCCTTCCTTTGGACTGAAGGGTATATTTTAATGCCCAGTGTGCTAGTTCCTTGTATTCTTCTCAACCTTCCTACACTCTCAATACATTCACAAAGAAAACAACTACTGTAATTTTTATTGGGACAGCGTTACATTTATAAATGTGGGAGGAATATGCCTAGATTTTTATCAAAGAATATCTTAGCATAATTTCAAACTTTACTTTTTGTACCGCAAGTCTTCTTCCCACAAGTTTTGCACAGATCTTAAGTTTACATAGTTCGTTTTTTTTTTTTCTGTTTGCAGTCAGAAGGGTTTTCTCTCCTGGTATATCCTCTAACTAGACTTATGTGCATATATATGAAGTCTACCATTCTTTTTAGTAAACGTTTTTATTAAACTGTAATTATACATACAGAAAAGTGCACAAATCGGTAAGTGTACAATTGGATAAATACCCCAAGTGAATGCAGCTATGCACAGCACCTGTCTCGTGGTTGGAGGTTACCAGCACCATGGGAGCCGCCCACGGACTTCTCCAGTCCTTGCTGATTTACAGTAGCCAGCTGAAACATAGTGTGCAGATTGTGATTTCACATACTTAAAGTTCAAAAACAGACCAAACTACTGGTAATTTCTGATAGGACTTCTCTTTGGGAGGGTCTGAGAGGGAGTACACTATAAATTTTACCTGTTTGAAACTTCATCTCAGTGGAATCAGAGGCCTTTCTTTGTGTTTAATCTGGTAAAGTACCTATTACTGATACTTAAGTGTAAGTCGTAGCAAAGCTGCTTTACTGTGTTCTTACTTCTTGGGGTTTTCTAGATATAAAATTCTATGTGCAGTTTTGTCTCTTTTTTTACATTTTAAGAGGACACATTTATTAGGTAAAGGAGAAAGCAAAAGAGGCAGCTACATAGTCTCAGGTGAGCATGAGTGGGCACGTTTTCTCCTGCATTTAGCTGGAAAGCCTCTTCTGTTTTAGGATAGCATTCATGAATTAGTCATCAGTTATATACTCAAACTTACTTACTGAGTGTATTTAACACAAATGATTGCTTAGTTCGAACCTACCTTTTCTCCAAGGATGGATATAATCATATTTTTCTCCTTGTATGATGAATCTTAATGGTTGTCTAATATTACATTCTGGTATTACATTTTGAAACAAATCATGGTCAACAATCATTTGTTACTTTCTGAGAGCTGTTTGCTTGTTTGCTGATGTCAATCTTTTGCTTTGATAATTAAAACAACTATTCTTTGGTATAATCTATGTCAGACCTTGGAAACAATGTTATTATAGTTACTTTACAAAATAATTTCATTAAGCTTTAGTTTTTTAGTTTTTTTTTTTTTTTTTTTTTTACATTTTGACATTCAACATTTTTTATCTGGCCTCTAAAACTGGTTAAACACTGGGAATACTTAAATCTAAAAAAAATATCGTGGCAGTCTGGGGTCTGGGTCTGATTTTTTTTTTTGGTAAGTTTTTTTAAACCACATTTGTACCCACCACCCAAACCCTGATCCTTTAATCATCTGTTCTTCTCATTTTCTGTTTTGGATATTTCTACTAGGGTAATTTTGTATTTTTCTAATAATCTACTTACAAAAAGTTAAAGTATTCTTACAGTTTTATGAAACTTGTCATTTAACTCTGATTCTTCCCTTTTTCTCTCAACAGTTTCATGGTTTTCCACCCCCATACCTACTCTAGGTAACTCCCTCCCACTTTGGGTTTACTTTCCCCTCATTTTAAAAACTTGGTTCCTGTTCACCCACCCCGTATTTATTAGGTCTTCATCAGTCATGTGCTCATGCCTTTGGCATGTTTTTGCTGCCTATGGGAAAGATGGTTGGCTTCATTTTTGTATCATTAAATGTGAATTGACTATAATACTTCTCAGCTACCTTTTTTAGTGACGTCAAAGTTCTCCAGTTCTTTTAGGAGGGAGGGATGCTTGAGGATGAGTTTTCTTATTAGCTCCGTGGCCCTTGAGCTCCCTTTTCATTTACAATGATTTCCAAGATGACACATAACTATATAAGCATCTGTGGACAGCATCCTTCTCGCTAACATTCATCTGGTCTCTGTCCTCATGTGCCTTACTGCCCAATTTGGATTCTAATTCTAGCAGTTTCTGCTCACTTTTACAAGGTCTAAGGGCTGGGCCCAGACTGCTCCAGCACAACCAGGAGGCCTTATTATATTGCTGCAACACTCACCTGCCAACGGGCACCTGGGAATCCTCCCACTGACAGTTTCTGCTCTCGGATTGGCCCTCTGCACTTTCTAAGTGGGGAAATAACAGTCTTATTGTCAAGCAGATCAAGTATTAGCTGCCTTCTCCTACCTCCTCCTGCAAGATGCTGAAAAGTACATCAGTGGGTTATTCTCACTTAGTTGTATTTTTGAAGTTCATGTCATTTAGTTTAGACTAGGGTCTGTGGTTATCTGACTTACCTGACGGGGAGATTCAAAATCTACACTGCTGCCGTTCACTTCCCCGAGTTTAAACTTTGTGAGATCTCTTCCTATTACAGAAAAGGTTTAAAATAATTTTACAATGGTTGTGACAGGAATTACAGTTAAGAACTTAACTTTATTTAAGGTACTATGCCGAATGCCTTGTATGCATTATCTTATTTAATCCTCAAACCACCTGTGAGTTGCATTTTACCTTTTCCTCCCCTTACCAATGGGGAAGTTAGGGTACAAGTTGCACAGAGCTGAACTACTGTATATTATAAGGATTTGAACCTTCATCATTAGACTTCCGAGCACCTCTGTACTAAGTGACTGTCAAATACTACCAGGTCCAACACTTTTCAAATTATATAACATTATGAGCAAAACTTCTATTTGAATTTAAATTAAGGGTTTATAAATAGCTGTTTAATGATCTCTTAGAAATGTATACAGGTTATAGGGCAAATCTAACAGCACTACAGGATACACAGGTTGACTTGTGCTGTATGACCTGACTAACCTTGCTTTTATACAGATGCTTAAAATTAAGTTTCTCCTGTCTAGTAAATTAACCGAGGGGGAGAGGGGTAAGGAGTGGGTAGATATAGTTAACAGTTACTCAAGATTCTGCATTTCATACTTCCCTTCTCATTATATCACTATTGCTAAAGTATGTTATGTAAAATATTGCTTATAATTTACTAGTAAATATTTTCCTTATAAATAACTATTTAGAAAACATTAGTGTCTCCACAATTCACACTGGCCTGATATTTTTTGGTCAGTATGCAGCTGTGGGATGTGAACATTCACTGATCCATAAAGTTTCAAGGTTTCTCACAAGTTTATCAATTAGAATCACATGTAATTTATAACCTTGTGCTAGTTAACAAGGGGTTAAAAATATTTGTAATCGTTTTATGAAATACTTTTACATTGAAGTTCTTTTTTATTGATGAAAATGGTTACTAATTTGCTTGCTTTACCAGCCAACCACTGACAATGATTCAGCAAAATCAAATGGGACTTTTCATCGTTGTAAAGCCATTCCAAATGTGCTATTTTAATTCTCTGTCTAAGAGAGAACTTAGTGTGAAAACAGGGAGAGCTCAGTCTGTCAGGATTTAAACCGTCGTGAGTGGAACAATACATAGAAAGCATCTGTTAAGCTTACTTCTCTTCTACCATCAGAAGATTGATTTTACTTCCAACAACAAAAAAGGTTAACTTTGGTTATCGCAAGTTTAAAATTAAGCAAGTCAAAAAGTAAAATTAACTTAAGCAATGTCAATAATAAATGAGTAATTTCCCAAGTACCTACTTAGGATTTCTTTGGGAAGGAAGGACCACTGTTTATAGGGACTTTTTCCTCCAACTTAGGAAAAAAAATTAAATATTACAACACCTAATAGTGATACTAGTAATTTAGTTTTTATACTGACATTTACAGAATGAATGATTCAACATCTATTTACTTACACCCAGCTCCTTCAGTGAGGCGATATCCTTTTCTGCTTTAGTAGCAGACATAGTTTTCAATGTCACTGAGCAAAAGTGAAGATTTATTGAGAAATGGATTACTAACGAAGCATTATACTACCTCCTTTCCAATCATCTAGTCTACAGAACAAAGAAAAGTGAAAGTTCACCTTAACACCTAACTGGTCTATTTAGATGGCATACTTTTTCCCATTTATCTGACAATATAAAAATATAAAGGACCAGGTATGGAACTGCACCATTAAATTTACTTGAGTGGTTCTGTTTGGGTTGGTTTTTTTTTTTTTTTTCATTTAAATTTTTACTTACTTAATTTGAAAAAATTATAAAATTATCAGTTTGTAATGAGAGCAACTAACATATTGGGCGCAACAAACTAAATATAGTCCAAGTGACTAAAACTTACTCCGTTACGAAAGTACAAATATAATTTAAAATATCACATACTTCAGAAAAATGAACAGAAACACTAAATGTCTTTCCTTCTAGATGAGACTATTTTCTCCCCGATAGAAAAAAGAAAGCAATTATTTGGGATTCAAATCAAATATCAGTATTTACCCAGGCAATGTCTAAATAAAAGACCTGCGTAGCACAAAAATACCCCATTCACAATCACGTGCAGCTAAATGATTTTCCCTCAGTTACATAATAGTCTTCTTAAAACAATTTCCCTTTAAAAAATTACTGTTAGAGTTAAGCACACTGACTCGTGTGGTGATGTTAATTTCATTCATATAGACCACACAAATTTAATTGGCACACTTTACTTAAAATAAATCATTCCTCTTTAAAAAATTATGGGATCATCTATATTCAAAGGACAACCCCAGATACTTAATTCACTAAAGCAATTTTCTACCACCAGCAGTCAACTTTTAAATGATCACCACTAAGTGTTCACCCAACGATTATCAATGCTATGTGAACTGTAAACTTGTTTGAAGATGTGTCCATTTTATAATATGATACAATTTGTACTTAAGAGTTCTCTTAAAAAGGTAACCTCCATACATAGTTAATTTGCCTCGAAGAACTTCTTAGAAATTTAATATAAACATTTAAGAACCACAACAGAGTCCACTGTGGCTCCAACTTCAACAAAGATATCCTTGAAACCCAGCACAAAGATGACTGGCTCAAGACCATATCCCAAAGTGACATCAGTGTGAGATTCGATTGTAGACTCTACCTCTTAAAAAAGAGCACACCTGGTTACATGGCTTTTAACCTTGAGCTACAGTTATGCTACAAACCCCCCACGCCCCGCCTACAGTCAGTCATGAGGAAATGTGGACACTCTCTGAGCAGGATTCAGAGTCCTTCGTCTTCCAGCTCTGATGAAGATCTTGAAGGCGTTCCGAAGTTCGTGTGCTTACATTCAGGGCAGGATGAACTTTACAGATGCCACTCTCCTCCATTAGCGACAAGCCACAGATTCCAAAGTATGCATGCAAAGCATCTGAAAACGAGGCATTTTTATCACAATAAGCACTTGTTTTTGTACCATATATATATATATATATATACATATATCAGCCTATTGCTCCATTAAAAATAAACATATTTGCTTTCTTATCTCAAAATGCCAAATTTTAAAAAACAAATGAGTTCCAGCAGAAGCAGGGATACTCTTACTACCACTGTGATTAAAGAATCCCCAGTGGGCTTTACTGGGTTCCACCCCCACCCCGTTGGCTACTACAGAATAGAGAAAACAAGGGGATCTAGTTCTGTATCAAAAGTTTTTTTCATTGGGAAAAAAAAAAAAACACTTTTGAGTTTAATATGCAGCATTATCTTTCTCATCCTTAAGTTTTACCTGATAGTTTATAAATCATACAGTACCCCAATACTGTATTAAATGAAAGAATCTTGAGCAATATAAGCCACTTGGGAATGCTGGACCATATTTAATTCTGTCAATGATTCTAAAAATATCTGATCTGACAATAAAAACAAACTCACATTCTATCAGATTATGATAATGTATTTCATGCTGTAATTCACCTATACTGCCTTACCAGTTTCCTACTTTCCAGGACAGCCTACCCTCTTTCACTGAAGTAGCCACTGAAATCACATGGCTACTGGTGACCCCAAAGCCTCATTTGGATCTGTGAAGCTCTCAGAACTCTGCAGTTACGGGAACACTACAAAACAAGATTTTGTAGTAGTCAAGAATTTTTTCTGTTTTTGAACTGGACACCATTTATGGCTGCAGGAGCTATTAAAGCTCAAAACATCTCAAAAGTTCAAATTTTGCAAAAAGAACTAAAGAAACCATTTTACTAATATGAATATTATCTAGTATCAAGTTAGGAATGACAATGGTTGTGTTCACTTGAAGTTATTTCATAATGGACACCCATATTAATTTTCTTTTTCTTTCAGAAAATACAGGAAAGCCTATTCATAAAATTGGTATAGTATTGATCATTTTCATCTTATTTCCAAACTACAAAAAGTAAATTTGATTTCCCTGTAGAATTAAAATGATCCTATAGGTAATATAAGACTTCCCCCCCCCAAAGGATTTTGTAATGCCAGTGAACTAGAAATTGCTCCAAACCTCAAACAGTACTTTTTTAAAATGTCCTTTGTGTAGGTAGTGATGCAGTCAAGCATTTTAGATGAGATATTTTCTCTAAAATATAATTTCACTTTCTTTCATAAATTTCTTCTATGAATGTATATAGTCTTTGTGTCAAATCTGACGCTAGATTTATCAGAAGAAAAAAGTTAATTTTAAAGAATCTTGTTAAAAATGATTTTTTCTGGGCCCTCCCTGGTAGCACAGCGAAAGCACAGCACTAAGAAGCTTAAGCCACTTCCGCATGAGTTCGATCCCCGCCTGACCCGGAGGTGACCACATGGCGTGGCAGACCGCTCCTGACCCGCCCGCCGCTCCCCTCAGCAGTGTACTTCGTCAACCTGCCTGTTCTGCTCCCCACTCTGTCTCTGGTGAATCCTCTCACCCTTCGCATCTCTGGCCTGTACCCCAGCTCTATATGAATGAATAAATAAATCTTTAAAAAAAATGATTTTTTCTAAAAGCTCTGAGAACAGGTCTTTTGCTAGAACGTTGGTATAATTTGCTATTGCATGTACAAAGACTTTCTGTGCTCTGTAATGCACAGGGTCTGAAGACACTTGCATTACATTCACACATGTACACTAATGTTAAAGTTAGTAAGTGAATAAAAAACTTTCAAGAATTCGCTTTCAAAAAACTACTATAAATGCTCAAAGGTATTTACAAGTATGTTATATCAGAAATGCTTTCCAGAGAGTGGCATTATCCTATTTCTGTTCTTGTTAAACAGCAAGTTATTTGTTAAAATATTATCAGGCACTGACTGAAAACTATAATATCAAGACAAAAATAAGCTCATTTTTCCCGAGGTACTTTTCTAACAAATTTACAACTATGATTAGATACTGAAAAACTAAAAATATTGTTACTGCTTTAGAAAGGAAAAGCATTTAACATTTTTTCCCCTAAAGAAGGATTTTGCATGAAAACACAGGTAAATAAGGATGTTAGAAGCTACTCCTGATCACTTCAAAAAATATGCTAGCATGAGTCCCTTATTTATACTTTGATATACTGGAATATTTTATATATTCTAACCATTAACAGTTCTGAATTGAAGAGGTTCTAGGCTAACAATAAAACCAGGATTCTATCATAATGCTGTGAAAACAGTCATTCTGATATACAGTTTCATCTACTCATAGCTAGCTAGCACTTTGCTAACTTATCAAAAAGTGACAGCATTCTATGGTTTCACTTATAGCAGGAGTATAACGGACCAGGCGAAAAAATAAGAAGAAGAAGAATGAACAGTTATATACCAGAGACATTTTATGGGGGTGGAGTGGGGCATGGGATCAAAAACAGTGGGGGAAGGGAAGTGCGCTGCACTTCGGTGATGGCACATGGGCGATGTGGTGACAGGAAGCCTAACGGGATTACAACTGAGATGGAAAAATGCACAAAATGATGTAAAAATAAATTTATTATTTAAAAAAAAAAGCGGCAGCATTCTGAATTACTTTTAACAAACTCTCAGACTGATCTTTTAGAAAGATGGCGCAGATCCCTCTTGGTGGAGGTGCAGACGCAGGAGGAGGGCAGGAAGCCTGCAGAATGCTGCTGGGGTGGGAGTGACAACCCTGGGACGGCCTGACTCTGGGTGCCCGAGAAGGCCTTCGAATAATCTTAGCAGATTTAAGAGAAGAGCTTAGATTACAGGTCTCAACATTTGTTGCATCTGAGATCCCTCTGAGAATCTGAAAAAAGCTTTTGTCCCTGTTCATTTTCATTTAAGCACATGAACACACACACACTCCCGAAGTGTCCACACGAGGGGACGAGACTGAGGACAGGACGGCTAAGGATGGGACTGAGGTGGGCGCCTGGCCGAGTGTGGCCTGGCGGCTCCACAGGCTGGGGCCGGGGAGCACTGGCATCACAAGCTGGAGCAGCAGGCCAGGCCAGCGCCGGAGAGGGGGCCGGCACTGAGCAGGCACTTTTAGATTTACATACGCAGTGGGGAATGAGGTCTGTCCAGCAGGAGTCACACATTTTGCAGAATTGTCATTATTAATAAAGATTTTTTCATTTTCATTATTTTCAATTTGAAAATAATTTGAAAGTACTTACAAAATACAAGAATGCTTTGCTCTTCTCATCTATGTCATTCTTCCTGACTTTAGAGAACACATATGAAAATTATCTGAATCGACTGGGTTCCTGAGTTTCAGAGACGCATGGTGAAAAATCAGACCACAAAGTGGTCATTAAAAAAAATAAAAATAACAAAAACATGCCAAAATTCAGAGGATAAGTGTGTAGGCAGTGAGGGACACCTCCATTCAAGGTTTGAGATCCTTGGCTGAACCACCAAGAGTAGAACTGGCTCCCTTCTGGAGTAAGAGTGATTGATTCGATTTAAAGTGATAGCTAAATAAGCCTGAAAATTCTGGATGTGCCAGCTGGTTCTCTACTTTGGGCAGGGCCCGTTCAGTTTCCATCTCAAATGAAATAAAACATTACCAAGGGACACATTTGTAAAACCTGCAAACTGTATTGCTTTACCTCGATAACCATGCCCTTCCTTTATATTCCTAAACACCTTAAATCCACCCTAAGCTTCAACAATTAAACCATTATTTAATGTAAGCTGACAACTGTGACTAAATTTTCATCATATGCCCATTCTCACAAAGATGCCTGAAGATCTACGCAAGAAATAAACAAAAGGAAAGTTGTCTGGGTTTCATACATAAAAGGAAATTACCTGGGTGACTATCTGGCCACTTGGCAAATCCGCCTACGAGGCGATCTTGAGTTGATAAGATGTAATTTCTATTTTTCTCAAAGTTAGTGTACTGGAAAATTTTCAGGAGCTGAAATGACATGACAAATACTAATTTACTGACAAAGTGTTCATATTGACGTCTGACTTAATTTTCAGATAGTGCATCATTTAAATATGCTTTTTTCTACCTAATGATCTCAGAGCAAGCCTCCACGGGAATCATGTTATCAAATCTACTTTCCTTTTCCTGACAGCTCACCATTTCCTGCTCTGAACCATGCCCAACTAATGACCCCTCTGCACCATTTTTAGCAAGGTTCAAAACATAAATTCCCAATTTGTTCAACTGAATTAGTCATTTTAAAAACTGAAATTTCATCTACCCACATTTAAACTTTTAAGACAATTTTTTTTTAGCTACTAGTTACAAACCGGTAGTACCAAGAAATAAAAATATTTCAAAACAGAGCAATAAAAATTAATCAGATGTGAGATAGCTATATTTCAGAATAATGAAGTACTATAACTCTTTAGTTATGATGAGTAAAAGGAGACAGAATTTAGGCAAAAAACTATGTAGTTTTAATAGTTAGAATAAATATTTGTCTTCTCTCTCCCAATCACACTAAATAGAGAAACAAAAGATCTATATCACGCTGTGAAAAGAAAATGGAGGTGAGCAGCAGAGAAGAGAGTTCAGGACATTGCTGTAAAACACAAAGTTCAGTATGTTAATGAATAAAAGAGAGCCAAGGGAAGTATTAGTTATTAATGAAGAAGTGTTATTCTCACAAAGAAAACAAAACATCTAATTGTGGCATATATAAGAAACAAACATTCATACATGTGACTTAATGAATAGAATACAAGAGACTCTTTAGAATCCTGCTTCTAATAACATTTTCCACCAAGCAGCATGTGGGTACTTGTATAAAACAAACAATAATATTAACACTGTACTTGATTCAGGAATAAATAATATTTATGTGATCATAATAAATGTGGATTAGTAGTTTTCAAATTTTAGAATCAACCTATAGGCAAAGCATAATGTACTTATCACCAGACAAAATATCAATGTTACCTAAATTAACATTAATTAAAAACAAAAGTAAGCTGATGAATTAGAAGGTGGAAGAAGTTAAGATTCAGAACTAGAAAATACAGTAACAATTTGCTGGAAAAGGGAGAGGCTAAATATATATTTTTCACAGTTGGGAATCAAACAGAATGTCTAAAGATGGTAAGCTAGAAAATCTGCATACTATTTCAAGTTATGGTAACATCCTCAAGAATTAAAAAAAAATTTTAAAAATTAAAAAAAAAAAAATGATTGTCATTAGAAAGCTGCCAAAGACTACCAAAGTCATAAAAGAAATTTCAAGAGCCAACCGAAAGGGGCTCCAATTGGCTAAAGATGGGTTAACTTGAACACTAAAAAGAACACCAAGTCAATGGATTAAAACATATAAAATGTTTTAAAATCTGTGACTTCATTATGACATTCAAAGAAAACCCTAAAATCAAAATATTTTATTAGAAACTTTAGTAACATCATTTTGTAACATTTTGTAAAACCTGCAAACTATATTGCTTTATCTTGATTAACCATGCCCTTCCTTTATATCCCTAAACACCTTAAATCCACCCAAAGCTTCGACAATTAAAAACATTATTTAATATAAGCTGACAACTGTGGCAAAATTTTCTATCATATGCCCATTCTCACAAAGATGCTTGAAGATCTACTCAAGAAATAAACAAAAGGAAGGTTGTTTGTGACATAATGGATCTAAGCAATATTACTTCCAAAGCTAAAGACTAAAATCATTCTCTAAAGAGTTGATGAGGTTTGTTTATTAGCAAAAAGCAATCCAAAGGGATATTAAGAAAGCAACTCCATTTACAATAGCATCTATAAAAATTAAAAATACTTATGAGAGGGCTTCTCTGGTAGTGCAAGGGGTTAAAGTGCAGCACTATGAAGCTATCTGCAGCCACTGCAGCATAAGTTCAATACCTGGCCAGGGAGGCGAGTCACATGGCTCAGCAGACCTCTCCTATCTTGCCCCCTGCTCCCCTGAGCAGTGTATTTTAGGTGATCTGCCTGTTCTACTCCCCACTCTGTCGCTGGTGAATCCTCTCACCTCCCACACCTCTAGCCTGTACCCCAGTTTTTGTATGTATAAATACATAAATCTTTTTAAAATATATTTAGGAATATACAACGAAGTAAACAACTTAGATGCTGAAAACTTTAAGACACTGCAAAAAGAAATCAGAAGTCTAAACAAATGGAGAAAATTCTTAGCTAATTGGTAAGACTTCAATTGTTAAGATATCAGTACCACCCAAAGCAATTTACAGATTCAACATAATCTCTATCAGATTTTCAAGTCTTTCATAGGAAATGGAAAAATCAATCCTCAGGTTCATATGAAACTGTAAAGTTATCTACACAGCCATAATAATCTTGAAAAAGAATATAGTTGGATGACTCATATTCTTTATTTTTAAACTTACTGCAAAGCAATAGTAATTAAAACAGTATGGCACTGGCATAATAATGAGACACAAATGTCTAGAAAGAAATCCTCACATATACAGTCAGTTGATTTCTGACAAGTATGCCAAGACCATTTAATAGGGAAAGGTCATTTTCTTCAACAAATAGTGCCAGGAGAGTTGGACTTTATAACACATACAGAAATTAACTCAAAATGGACTAAACTCCTACACACAAGGAACTAAAATGTCACAAATGTTAGAAGAAAAATTAGAGAAAATCTGCACAAACTGAATTTGGCAATAATTTCACAGATGTAACTACCAAAAGCACAGGTAACAAGAAAAACTGAATTGGTCAAAATTAAAAACATCAAAGGACAGTAAAGATCAGCTGAAATAGGAGAAAATACCCACAAGTCATGTAGCTTGATTAGAGACACTTATCCAGAACACATAATAGAACTTCTCCAGATCAAGAACATAAAGAAAACCACCAACCAAGTGAAAAATGGGCAGAGGATTTGAACAGACATTTCTGCAAAGGAGGTAAACAGAAGGTTAAAACACAACAAAGAAGCTCACTATCACAAATGATGAGGAAAAACAGAGGAAAACAATAATGAGCTATCAATTAACACCTATCAGAGTGGTTATTATAAAAATATAAGAAAAACAAGTACACGTGAGGATGTACAGAAGTTAAAAACCTCTTATATTGCTGGCTGCAATGTAAAATGGTGCAGCCGCTGTGGAAAACAGCCTGGTGGTTCCTTAAAAAATTAAATATAGAAGTACAGTATCATCAAGCAATTTCATTCTTGGTAATCATCCAAAAGAAATAAAAGTAGGGCCTCAGGCAAGATCTGTACACCATGCTCAGAACTACCACATTCACAATAGCCAAATGGTGGAAACAGCCCAAGCGTTTAACAATAGATAAAAGGAGAAACAAAATGGAGTGAGTGAGGTGTGTGTGTGTGTGTGTGTACACAAAAGTGTGTTAGTCACAAAAATGAATGAAATTACGATATATGCTATAACATAACCCTGAGATGGTCATGCTAAGAGAACTAAGTCAGATATACACTGCGTGATTCCACTATGTGATGTACCTAGAATACACAAATTCAGAGACTGAAAATACAGTAGAGGTTTCCAGGGGTTGGAGCGAAGGGGGGAGTGAGGAGTCACTGTTTGATGAGTACAGAGTTTGCCCTGAAGGTGAAGAGAAGGCTTTGTGTATACCTGGTAGTACTGGTGGCAATAAAACACTGTGAATGTAACTGATTCCATCAAATTGCACAGGTACAAGTTAAACAGATATTACACTCTGTGTATTCCACCACCATTAAAAAGAAACGAACTGATAGAAAAATCAGGTTTGATAACTCAGGAGCCTTTCATCAAAGAGACAACCACAGAGAATATGCTGCTCCAGGAGCACACAACATCACTGACTCAATGTTTAACCAAAGTTAAGAAATTTTGGCTGATACTTTTATACATTTTTTAAAAAGATGTGCTTATTTGTGCATATAAGAGCTAAGGTATAGGCCAGAAGTGCATGGTGGTAGGGGTGGTGAGAGGATTCACCAGAGACAGAGTAGGGAGCAGCAGGCAGGTCAGGAGAGGTCTGCTGGGCCGTGTGGGTCACCTCCCTGGCCACGGATCAAACTCAGGCTGCAGTGGCTGCGGACAGCTTCATAGTGCTGTACTTTAATCCACTGTGCTATCAGGGAGGGCCCATGGCTGATTTTTTAGAAGTTATAATGATGCTATACTTTTTTTGTTTATTTTGTCTAGCAATTATACTGAAGAATCTTCAGATAGAAAAAAATTATAAAGGTGCTCCTGAGAAATAGCCCTAAAAGTGAGGAGAAGGAGGCTATTACCTTCATTTTAAGTCATTCTGTTTTCTGAATTTACATCCACCATATTGTTTAAGAGAAGATATTACATGGAAGACAAACATGGACTTTTGTTAGGTTCCAGAAAACCAGGAACGAGGTGACAACACTTGAGGGTACTTAGTGACTGGCTATGGAATTTGATAGTGGAGATGGGGAAAACACAGGAGCCAATCAGTAAGTTTCAGAAGCTTTAGAAAAATAAAAAATAGCCTTAAAAAAGTTTTGAAGGGATGACTCACTGTTTATCTTCTGAGATTAACATCTCCCCTAAAACCTTTATTGGTATCATGTTCAGACAGATCCTTGCCCTAGGTGGATCACTGTCAGTTTCAGGTAACAAGACTTTACCCCTTATACCTACTTCTTCACCTAGGTTCTGGGTCACCTGAGTTTTAGAAGAATGGCTATTTTCAAATCGTATAGCAGATAACTTAAAAATCATAGACACTAGTTTTGCCAGATGAACATGAAAAACTAAGCCCTCTAAGGCTAGCAATTTCTAATGAGTGTCACAAAGACCAAATTCTTCAAGCAGCTTATACTGACGTGTAGGTACAGGGTTGCTCGTTTTCATGAGTTCTCTTACCTTGAGAGTTGCTCCCACCCAAAAAGAGTAACAGGTGTCCACAGGCTTATTAGGTCTCCCGTGGTAGCCATTCTGTTGCCTCATTATACACCACCTCTTGATCCTGTTCAATTCTTTTTCTGAAAAGACTTCTTCCAGTTTGCCCATCAGACAAAGTGAAGCAATGCCACAAAAAGTTGATCCGCCTGTGAATGAAAACCACACCATGATTTAAGCTTCCAATCAGATACCTAGGAAAACAGCATAAAGCATTTGGAGGAGAAAAAGTTAAACTGTTCTAGAAAATAATAAAAGAAATTTAAATTAAAAGGCAACTATAATTATAAAATAACCACTACACTCTCAAGAAGAATTTGAAATAACTTAAAGCTATAACAAACATCTCAGTGACAAAGGAAAGTGACATGCAGGAAGACTAAGGAACTTCAAAATATATCATTATGAGACAACAGAAAACTGAAACCTAGGATGTTCCTTGCGCAGAACGTCACCATCTGAGTATAATTTTTTTTATTACAAAGTTTATTTTTACATCATTTTGCACATTTTCATCTGAGTATAATTTTAATTCCCTTAAAAAAATAGACTAGCATGTTGTTTATTAACTGAGGTTTCATTTGCCTGAAGCCAACAGACTAATTTTTGCATATAACATAAACAAGCCAGAGCTGATATGCTCATAAGGTAATCGGCTTAAGAAGATGAAGGGAAAAAAGGTTGAGTGAGGGGACAGAACACGTGTGCAGGGAACAAGGGGAGACGCTGAGGACGAAAGAGAAGAAAAGTATCTGAAATGCCCAGTGAGTAGGACACTCAGAGTAATAAGACTGAATAACGCTCCCCACCTAAGCCCACCCAACTCCACCCAACGCACATCCTTTTTTTTTTTTTTAAAGTTGTAGTTAGTGCTCAGGAAGATCAACCATTTTAAAGATTTATTTATTTACGCATACAGAACTGGGGTACAAGCCAGAGGTGCAGGGGCGGCAAGAGGATTCACCAGAGACAGAGTGGGGAGCAGAACAGGCAGATTAACGAAGCACACTGCTGAGGGGAGTAGCGGGCGGGGTCAGGAGAGGTCTGCCATGGCATGTGGGTCACCTCCAGGGCAGGGACTGAACTGGCACTGCAGAGATTGAGGCCAGCTTGCAGTACTGTGTCCTAACCCGTTGCACCACCAGGGAGGGCCCCTCATATGTTCCTTCTATCCTTGGAACATATCCAGGGATAGAAGGAACATATGAGGTTACCTGACATAGCAGGTAACCTTTGTAAATGTAACCTTTGTAAATGTGGATCTTGAAGTTATGATCTGGAGGTGAGATGGACAGAATGTCCTAGATTACCTGGGGGACCCTGACTGCAGCCACAAGTGGGGAACAGAGGGATACAAACTACAGAGAGCAAGCAATGCGACCGCTGGAATGAAGAAAAGCAAGGCAAGGAATGTTACTGCCACCAGACACCAGAAGTGGAAAAGAAACATATTTTCTTCTGGAGCCCACAGAAAAAAACCAGCACAGCTCACACCTTGTTCTCAGCTCATAACATACACTTCAGACTTATGGTCTGTGAGAACTGTCAGAACGCTATTTGTGCTATTTTACACTCCTAGATCTGCAACCAAATATTACAGAAGCATTGACAAATGAACACAAAAGCAACTACTTTTCTCAAGAAATATACTCAATATTTTGCCACAAAGGAAAAGAAATACTCCCCACTAATGCTCATGGTTGTCAGCTTCAAACCAAGCAGAACTTTGGGAGTGAGAGGGTATAGATTGATAGGATGATTCTAAGATTTATAAGAAAATTAAAAACAAAAACAAAAAAGGAAAACCATCCAATTCATGAATATTAAAACAGAAACTCACTGATAACTTGTAAGTACTCATTTCTTTATTTACTGATATCTTGTAAGATACATTTTGTAGATGAAGAAAATGAAGTCCAGAAAACTGAATTACTTAGAGACATATAAGCAATAAGATTGACAATTAAATCAGAAATCATGGTATCACACACCTCACTAAACCTTCTACATGGAAACATTCAATGAGGAAGAGGTCGAGTTGCTGCCAAACTGACAGACTAAGTGTTCTCATGACCCTCCTGGGCCTACTGAAAGGGGAGCAGAATGTGGCAGGAAAGACAGCATTAACGTATGTACACAGAACACCCCAGACAGTATTAAGGTATGTACACAGAATACCCCATATGCAACCAAATGTTTTATGACAATGACTACAGACAATGAAAGATGGTAAATAAAAAACATTCACTTCTCTACAAATCCAGTGATTCATATTTGGGATTCTGCATCTATTTGGTCTTGCCTTTATATCAATGAAGGAAAGTAGTTTTCTAACTGCACCTTATGAAATCATCCAAAGATATTTTCATGCAGGTGACACTTGAATAGATTACAAGAAGACACTGCATGAACTTCTGCTCCAAACAATCACTGATGGCAATAAAAAAAGACTCAGAGGCACAGCAGTGTCAGAAAGAGGAGGAGGAAAGGAGATAACCAGGCTGTGGGCAAACCTCTGAGGTCCTCGGATTGAAGAAAAAACAGAGGAAACTGGGTGTTCGCTTATTTTGGATGTCTTACCGTGAGATTCAAGTCCGGCTCCCTGTGCCAGCCCATTGTCATAGGACTGAAAAAGAAGAACACGTTCATTTTAACAGGGCGATAATGATCATAAATTGTATGTACGCTAACTCTGGTCTCTTGATCTAACATTATTGCCTGTTTTTATTGATCAAAATATGCACTCTTTCCCACAAAGAAATAGAGCTGGAAATTTTCAGGGCCCTCGTTTTGCCTCACTCCCAGGCAAAGTGCTCTCTGTCTGCATACTGCGCATACTCTGAGGGAAGCCAGCTCAAAGATGGCACCTTGCTGCTCATCTTCCGGGTAAGAAGTCGCAGGCTTTACTCCACCCCCACTTTCAAAAGTCTGTGGGTTTAAGAAAAATGTATGGATTTGACACATGTAAAACATGGTACATGTTGAACAATTCAGCTTTTAAGTAGCTGTGGGTAGCCGAGGATAATGGTGGCTGATTCCATTTGAATCTCTCTACCAGATCTCTTGCACAAAATCAAAAAAGTCAAAACAACAAAATTATGGAGAAGTGGTGATGCCTTGGCAAAGCTCAAACTTCAAATTACCTGTCCACAGAAAAAGAAACAAAAAGCTCAGCAAGCCGTCTCTCATATCCTGACAATACTGTGGCAGAGAACAGGCAAACTAAAAAACTGTCAGGAGAGAGGAGAGGAAGAAATGGCAGCTCTGAGATTTCTCTCAAACACTGCCTGAAAAAAAAGAAGGAAGTTGACCATAAAGTGGGGAAGTACAGGCAGTTCCAAAATGCATGAATTTCAGGTTCACAGCTTAGTCAAGTAAGGCGGTATATACTGTAGATACTGTACAGTACAGTATATAAACTGAGCCATTACATAAAGTATATTACAAACTTCCTGCCCGATCTTCAGTGCACAACCTGCTCCCTGAACAACAGATGTGTACTGTGACCTGGGACTGGTCCTGTCCCCTTCTCTAAAGTCTGTTAGTAACTGATCACTGCACATGTCATTCAGTTCCTATACAGACAGCAAAGTGTGTGGATATGTTCTTGTCTCTTGGTGGGTGATAAACCACGTGATTTTACAGAGGCAAACCAATGGATGGGACTGATCACCAAGGATTAAAAGTGCAGCAGAGAAAGGAAAAACAGTTAACAGTGGAGGGGAAAGTAAGATCAAACCGAAAGAGAGAGGAAAACAGTGATGCTGTTGGAGGCGTGGTGCTGTTGGAGGCGTGGCCAGAAGTCAAAAAAACTAAGATATTTTCCTTCCTAGTGTGGAACAGAGGTTGTGATAAAAAGGATTAAGATGTTCTAGAAGGATACTGGCAGAAAACTTGTCATAAAAGGAATTCTTAAAGATAACCACAACAATGAAAATCCGAAGACCTAGAATGAACTAGCGTCATTTACCGGGACAGAAAAGAGGCTTGTTCCAAATCATAAGCTGCCCAATGGGAAGACAAACACCACTCAAAGGGCACATGGTTTTACTGCAGACAGGAACAAAGGAAGGGAGAAGGGCCTTGTGAAGATCGTTGAATGAAGGAAAACGCAAAGGAACAGAATCTGGACATCTGGAAAAAAAGAGAGCTGTCCTATGAGGAAACACACCCTTTCCCCAACACTGAAGCCCCCACTCTGAAGAAAATCATATTTCATTGCATTGAAAAAAAGTGTACTCTTAAATGGGAATTCTTGTAAGGAAAAAAAGTACAAAAAGATTACCAGAGAAATCTATACAAAGTAAGTGAGATGAAAACAAAGCAGATGAATGAAATGTCTCTTTATGTGAAAGCTGGTCCCACTCCATAAAAGCAGCCGTGAAGAAGAAAACTGTAATACAGTACTCCAATTAAAGTACTTATCTTTAACAGGCATCTGGTAATATGAAAGGGCCTAAAAATTGAAAATAGGAAAAAATAAAGCAGTAGGAAGAAATAAAGAAATCATCAGACAACTTCAGTAATGAAAGGGGAAAAAAGAAGAACTGAGAAACCAAGAGTAAATTACAGGGGGAAAAAAGGGTAAATTACAGGATGCCTAAGAAATAATTGCCTCAAATGAAAAGTAACAGCTAACATCTGACCTGTGGATAGGTTTTGCCTAGTTCTAGACTTAGGGAAATAGTTAACTATCACACTTACAGGAAAGAAAGACAAATTAAAAATACACCAAGTCATCACTTTCTCATACTCGATGATAAAAATAAAGTAAAATGGTAATGCATTCCATTAGCAAGGTTATACAGAAACAGACATTCTCAAATCCTCGTAAGAAAGTCTACTGGATCATTCTTTATTGGAGAGAAAGTAGGCAACAGCTAATGTAAGTATATGTGCATTTACTTTCTGACCAAGCAATTCCACGACATGAAATTTATTCTGGAGAGATAGTTCCAGCAATACATAAGTCCATTACTAACTTCAGTATTATTACTGCTGAAAAATATACTCCATATACAGAGGAGTTGAAAAAACTAAGGCACGTGCACACATGCAGTGGATGAAACTAACCTAAGAAAGAGGAAAATCTCTGGGATCTGGCACGGTTTCCAGCTACACTGTTAGGCAAGAAAGGCTAATGCAACCAACACATTTCGCGTGCGGCCCTCTGAGTAAGTAAAATAAAAATAGATGTATCTGCTCATCCGAGACAAATAAAGGATGAACAACCCAAAACCTCGAGAATGTCCACTCACAGGGTGCTGGGCAACAAGCTGTTAACTGTGGCTGTGAGGCAGCGGGGAGGAGAGAGACACAGCAAGTGGGGAGCTAAGCCTCTCCTGCATCTGCACCTTCTCAGGTGGCTCTGACTTCCGGAGCCAAGTGGGTTTACTAAGTAAATAAATTATTTACTAATAAATAAAATCAACAAGGTTGTAGGAAAGCCTAAAGTTGAATGCAATAAACTTAATTATTTTTCAAAAAATTATTACAAAAGTAGTATTTATATAAAAATAAAAGCAATAATCCTTGGGCTAAGAGCAAAAAGAACCAATGTGTTCTGGACTATGGGAGCCAGGTCTGTCACCTTGTGAAAAACAATTCCATTCATTGAAAAAGACACAGTCTCTTTTTTAAATAACGATGAGTAGAAGTTGAATTAACATGCTGAAATATACTAGTCTGTAAAACTAAAACCTTGATATTATCCTTAAAAAAAAAAAAAAGAAAATCCTTAAAGTAAACCTCAATTTAAAAAAATATACAAGTATTAAAAAAACAAAGGTGAAAACTCAGTATAGATTATCACATTCAGGTCATGCTGGTCAAAGTGAGGGACTCATAGCTCACAGCCCAAGAAGAGGAGTCTCGAGGATGCAGTCATTTCTCCTTACATTGGTGGCCATGACTTCTCAACTTTGACCTTTGAGGTTTTTTCTTTTTTCTTTGCTTCTGATAAGTGCGTTGTTTCATAGATATAATTAGATAACACTTAATGCTAATGGCTGACTAATCCATCTGCCCTTTACGGTTACTTCCACAGGGTTGGTCCGCACTGGTACACAGAAAGCAACCTTGATGTCCAATTTCCAAACTCGGGGTGGAAGAATGAGGGTACATGACACGGCAGGTCCCATACACCAGCACTAATGAAGCGACAAGAGAGTCAACTGACAACAGAACTCACCATGCTTCTTCTGATATAGGTGATGGCTTTTGTCATATCCATGCCAGACCAGTTGTTGAGCATGTAGCAGATACAGGAAGCACAGTAGACAAACCGCATGTCATTTTCACTGCCTTCAGGTACTGCACAAAAACTGAGAATAAAAATATTAATCTGGGACTGTAACTTTTTGTGCAGGAGGGTTAGAAAAATCCAACTTCATGTCTTCGCTCAGAGAAATCTATCACTAAGAATTTAAGAATTTAAATATGAACTTAAAAATCATTGATGAGGTCCTCCCTGGTGGTGCAGCGGGTTAGAGCACAGCACTGAGAATCTAAAGCCGCTTCTGCAGGAGTTCGATTCCCGCCTGCCCCGGAGGAGACCACATGGTGAGGCAGACCTCTCCTGACCTGCCCGCTGCTCCCCTCAGCAGTGTACTTCCTCGATCTGCCTGTTCTGTTCCCCACTCTGTCTCTGGTGAAGCCTCTCGCCGCCCCTAAGCTTCTGGCCTGTACCCCAGTTCTGTATGTACAAATAAATAAATCTTTAAAAAAAAAAAAATCATTGATGACTTTAACAGAACAGAATTATAGCAACTCAACAATGTAAAAGTAACTAATTCGTTCTACTCTGACACTGGGTAGCTCCACATACCCACAGCTACTTCTCCCAGATGCCCCAACCAGAGTAGGTGTCTTTGCTTTAGGCTGTGACATTCTGACTTGGGGATCAATGGCAGAAAAGGCGCAGATAAAAATCACACTAAGCAGTAAGAAATTCACAAGCCCTTTAAGGTTTGATATGTATATATTGGTAACTGTTAATCTAATACATTGTCTTAATTTACCTTTCACTATGTAGCTTCAGAGGAACTACAATCTGTACCTTTTATCTATGTGTTTATTTACAAACAAGGAAAAGGTAGCAGCCATCAGAGACTGATGAAATACTAAGATGTTAGTTTCCCATGTAACAGTCGCAGTAAACATCTCCTTAATGTCTATTTAGCCTCTGTCACCACTAATTTTCCCCTGTCAAAAGCAGTGTTTTAAAACACTGACAGGACACAGCTATAGGAGATGAAGCACAAAGATATAGTAGCAGAGCAGCTTCATTTGCACTGTTTTCTACTGCTTTACCACTTTTCGGATTAAACATTATTTTTACCTTAACAGTCTAGAATACTTTTCTTTGGTCACAATACAGAGTCTACCAAGTACTATTAACAAAATACTTCCTTTCTTAGTCTTTTTTAATTTTAATTATTTTTTCATTGAAAAACTGAGGTGTAGGCAGATGTGTTGTTTACTAATAAATAAAATCAACAAGGTTGTAGGA